TCTCTCTCTCTCTCTCTCTCTCTCTCTCTCTCTCTCTCTCACACACACACACACACACACACACACACACAGAGCGAAAGCTAGTGGCTGAATTTTCTAGGCTTGAAAGAAAGGGGCATTTTGAAAAGTTAGGGCCTGGAAGGAAGCATGCTCTGACTCCTGAATAAAATTTTAGAAATTAGATTTTGCTCTGAAGTAGCACAATCATATCAAGACTGATTTTTCCAAGAGCCAAGGCTGGTAGGAAATTATCCAGAATTTCTTATGCAAAACTTTGCTTCCCCTTTTTGCCAGGACTTGCTGCTGGCCACATTTCCATGTTGGTCTTTGGGGATGAAACACGCAACTACTTTTTGGTAATTGGCCAAGCTGTAGATGATGTCCGCCTTGCACAGGGCATGGCCCAGATGAATGATGTCATTCTGTCACCAAACTGCTGGCAACTCTGTGACCGGAGCATGATTGAAATTGAGAGAATTCCAGATCAGAGAGCTGTTAAGGTAGGTGTGTTGCAGAAAATCCTGCAGTCATATGGGTCATGGTAATTCTATGGGGCTCTTGGATTGGTGATGAGGTAGGAGCAGTCATAGTTTAGCCCAGGGGGCTTTTCCAGTACAACTACTCTGGGAGGAACTGAGTCTGGGGAGCTCAAGGAAGAAATGATCAGGCTTCTCTGAGATAACTAAGAATGTACAATTTTGGTATCTGGGGGATAGTGGCCTTGCTTAAGGAATAGGAAGGATCTGCTGGTTGTTCTCTAAGAGCAGAAGGGGGTATTTTTTAATAAGTTTTTTATTGTGAAAATACTGCACAGAGGGGTTATAGTTACATGAGCAAGGTAATGAGTACATTTCTTATCAAGCATTGTTGCCTCCTCCTTTGTTTTCCCCCTATCATTCCTTCCTCCCACTTCTACCATTGTCGCTCATTTTCACTACCTATCACCCTCCTAACCCAGGGAGAGGTTATTGTGTCAAATGTCTCTCCATTTGATTTTGGCATATTATTGGACTAACTTTCTTCCTGGTTTGGGGAAAGAATATCACAGATCAAGACTTCTTTAGATAAACTTAATGATAATAAAATAAGAAGTTAATTTTTAAAGGATGAGATTGGGCCCATTCTCAGGGTATTATTTTATAAAGTTAATGATCTTATTACTGGTATGGTTCCTAGTATCTTCTTGTATATCAGTCTCCTCTGCCTTTTAACACTTATAAGAAAGAAATGGTATATACTTTAACCAGTTTTTATTTAAATTAAAATGTTAGGAATGAAAAAAACAGTAGAAAATAGTATATATATATATATATATATATATATATATGTTGTATACCTGCTGATCGTTGAGCTCTTAAAGAATGAGAATAATTAGAAAACCTTTTAAATTCTGTCTCTGTCTGTCTGTCTGTCTGTCTGTCTGTCTGTCTCTCTCTCTCTCTCAAGAAGTAACAGGGCTTGAACTCAGGGCATTGAACTTGGGGCCTTCTGCTCAACTTTTTTGCTTACAGCTGGCATTCTACCATTTGAATTGTACTTCCAGTCCACCAATTTGCTGGTTAATTCAAAATAAAGTCTCACAGACTCTTCTATACTAGCTGACTGACTTTGAACTTTAATTTTACAAATCTCAGCTTTGTGCATAGCTTACAGGCATGAACCAGTTAATTATTGTTTTGTGATGGTTCTGAAGCTTGAACTCAGAGATGAGGCTTTTTGATTTTCTTTGACATTATCTACTCATAACAGGCATTCTGCCATTTGAGACACAACTCCAGTTCCAGCTCTTTGAAAGCTAATTGAAGAGTATGGGATTTGTCTGTCAGGACTGACTTCAAATCTAAATCCTCAGATCTCAGCCTCCTGAGTAGTAAAGATTAAATGTGTGAGCTACTGCTAGATGGTTCTTTCTTTCTGTGCTAAGGATTTAACCTGGAGTCCCTACACATACATATTAAGCACATGCTGTATATGGGCTATACCCTTAACCCCCTGAATTTTCAACTCAAAAATTCAACCTTATGAATTGAAGACTGGACATGATGTGGTAAATTACACCTGCAATCCCAGTAAGCAAAGGCTGAAGAAGAACAAGTCTGAGACCAGCCAGGACTGCAAAGCAAGTCTGAGGCCAGCCTGAACTACATAGGAAAATTCTATCTCCAAAAAACAAACACAAAAAATTGAAGATCTTTAGAGTTTATATATGCCAATGTCCATTTGCCATGTCTGAGGCATTCAGAAACATACTCTTGGACTTTCTGCTAAGAATTAACACTCAAAGGACCAGATGACCCTGTTCTCAGAATAACTGAAAATTTCTCACTTTATTTTGTTTAGGTTAACTTCTTAAAACCACCTCCAACGTTTAACTTTGATGAGTTCTTTGCCACATGTATGAGCTTCATGGATTATTACCCAACTCATCAACACAAAAGTAAGTTCCCTCCATAGACAGTGGTCAATAGCTTCAACAGCTCCATCAAGTGACTGCTCTCCTAGACACAGCTCTAGTCCTTACCAGAACAAAAAGGGAACCTATTTCCCATTCTCCACATCAGTAATTCTAAGCATCCTCCTTTCCTTCCCCCACATCCTCTGTCTTCTGGGTAGGCAGAGTGCTCTCCATTGTCTTCCAAACTGCTAAGTCTTCCCCATAGTGAGAGAAAAGAAAAAACTTTTGATGTTTTGTTTTGTTTTTTTGTTTTGTCAGTCATGGGGCCTGAACTCTGGGCCTGGGCACTGTCCCTCAGCTCTTCAGCTCAAGGCTAGTACTCTACCACTTGAGCCACAGTGCCACTTCCAACCTTTTCTGCTTATGTGGTGCTGAGGAATTGAAAAACCTTTTGAGCACTCAGAATATACTACATCTGAATTTGAACTGCTTGGGGACTGGAGATGTGGCTTATGGGTCAAAGTGTAACACTCCGAGGTCAAGTCTTGGTCAACCCCCCCCCATAAAAGTATTTTAAATTATTCTTGTATCTCCTGGCTTACTTAATTCACCCAATAAACATCAATTTTATTTGTCTTTGAGTAGGTTTACACCTACCTACTCTTTAATCTTTCATATTTAATTATAGTTCCCTCTGTGTTGCCCACGCTGCCTCAAACTCCTGGGTACAACTGATCCTTCTATGTCAACTTCCTGTGCTGAGCTAGTCTTTAGCTCTCAATCTAGCTCCTTCCCTCTTGCTTCCTGTCTGAAACTGTTTATGTAGGCCTGGAGATATGACTCAAGTGGTAGAGTCCTTACCTAGCAAGTGCAGATCCCTGAGTTCAAATCTCAATTCCAGAAAGAGAAAATGAGAGACAGTAAAAGAGAAAGAGAGAGGGGTAAAAAGAGAGACATTACGTTCTTCATTATCCTTGGGTTCAGAAGTAATCTTCTCTAATATTGCCACTTCCATCCTCCACTTCTTTAGTTAATTCCTAGGTATTTTATTTTTTGTGGAGCTATTAGCAAGGAGTTGCTTTCCCTGCTCTTCTCATTATTGGCATACAGAAAAGCCATTGCTGTTTAAGGGTTCATTTTATACCCTGCTACTTTGCCAAAGTTTTGGATCAGCTCAAGTAACTTGGGAGTGGAGTCTATGGGGTTCTTTAAAGACAACATCATGTCATCTTCCCCTATTTGGATCCCCTTTATGTTTGCATCTTGTCTTATTGCTCTAGCTAGGCATTCTAATAGTAAATTGACAAGGAGTGGAGAGAGTGGACATCCTTGTCTTGTTCCTGAATTTAGAGGAAAAGGCGGCTTTAGCTTTTTGCCATTAAGTATAATTCCAGCTGTAAGTTAGTCATATACAGCCTTTATTATATTAAGGAATGTTCCATGGATTCCTAGTTTCTCCAAAGCTTGCATCATAAACAGATGTTGGATGTTTTCAAATGCTTTACCTGCATCTATTGAGAGAATCATGTGGTTCTTATCCTTGCTTTTGTTGATGTGATGAATTACATTAATTGATTAGTGTATATTGAACCAGCTTTGCATCCCTGAAATGCATCCTGTCTTATCATAGTGTATGATTTTTTGATGAATTGTTGAAATGTAGAGGCCAGAATTTTGTTGAGAAGTTTTAAATTGATGTTCATCAAAGAAATGGGTCTATGGTTTTCTTTCTTTGATGAGCCCCTGTCTGATTTTGAGATGAGGGTTATGTGGCTTCATAGAAAGAGTTTGGTAGTGAAATTTTGCTTTCAATTTCATTGAAGAGTTGAAGAAGTTTGGTTTGAGTTCTGCTTTGAAAGCCTTGTAGAATTCAGCTGTGAATCCATCTGTTCCTGGGCTTTTCTTGGTTAGGAGGTCTCTTACTGCTGCTTGATATGGATCTGGTTAGTTGGTTTAAATCTTCTTGGTTTAGTTTGGGCATATTAATACTTGCTAAAAATTCTTCCATTTCTTCCAGATTCTCAAATTTGTTAGCATAAAGGTTTGTGAAGTATCCCTTTATAATGTTCTGAGTCTTGGTTGTTTCTGAGGTGATGTTTCTATTCTCATTTATGATGAGAATGTTTATTTGGGTGTGTTCTCTTCTTTTTCTGGTAAGATTTGCTAAGGGTCTGTCAATTTTGTTAAGTTTTTCTAAGAACCGAGTCTTTGTTTTGTTGATTCTTTCTATGGTTTTTTGGACTCTAATTCATTTAATTCTTTTAATTTTAATTATTTGTTTAAATGTACTGGATTGGGGTTTGGCTTGTTGCTCTTTTTTAAGGCACTTCAGATGCACCATTACCTTGTTGATTTAAGATTTCTCCACTTTGTTGATGTAGGAACTCAGAGCTATAAATATTCCTCTGAGTACTGCCATTGCTATGTCCAAGAGGAGCTGGTAATTTGTATGTTCATTTTTGTTACATATCATGAACATTTGAATTTCCTTTCTAATCCCTTCCATGACCCATTGGTGGTTCAACAGTGTGTTGTTCACTCTCCACATATTACAGAATTTTCTTTGGTGGCTTTTGTTGATGAGCTCAAATTTTATTTCCTTGTGCTCTGAGAGAATGCAGGAAATAAATTCAATGTTTCTGAACTTGGGCAAATTTGCTTTGTGACCTAAAATGTGGTCTCTTTTGGAGACTGTTCAATGTGCTGCTGATAAGAACATGTATTCTGGACCCACTGATTGCGAAGAACAGAGAAACCTCCAAACCGGGAGCCTAAACAAAGATACCACTCCCACCCCTCACTCCAAGCAGAGGGGCTCCATCCTGCCATACCCACTCGGCCCCATGGTGGGAACCCCAGAACTACACAGGTCACCCACAGAATGCCACAGCAGAAGACATGCAAGGTACTGATACTGATCTGGAAAGCACAGAGACAAACCCCAGTACTCAGAACCTGCATGGAGACCCCTCCCCCACCCCTAGGCCAGAGGCTGGAGGCCCATCCAACAGAGCCAACCTGAACAGGATCAATAGCGGGAGAGACAGAGGATAAACACAGAGCCACCACTGCCCGGCCCAGCTCACAACCATCTCAACTGAACTCTGATTGCAGCAGCAACCAGCGACCTACATCACACAGAAACAACTAGCTCCAGGGTGAGTACCCTACAGAGGACATTGTATCCCTCAAGGGCAACCAGAGCTGGTGAGAACCCTCAGACCATGACCCAGACCCCTACCTCAACACCTGGACTACAGGACACACTCAAACTGGGAACTGTTCGAGAGCTTCACCAGCCCGTGGAGCACATCCAGCCAGCCAGGCTAGAAAAACAGAGCCCTTGGAAGGGAGCTTAAGCGCCTAAGCCAGGAACAGCACCCCTGGGTCACAACAGACAACAGTGGAAGAAATTTGAACTGTGTACTCCAGACTGCATAACCCAGGTGGGATACACAGCAACACAGGTGCAACTGGAGTGCCCCAGGTGGGAGGGCCAAGACCAGGCCTGGGGATCCAGTGCCTGAGCAACACAACCAACTCCTCCCAATTGAAGTCAGAAGCTGGGCATAAACCTCAGCAGAAGGGGGAAAACACCCCCTGGAATCACATCTGTGACAGCAAAAGACCTGGGTGACCAGGGCAAGAGAACCAGAAGCCGAAAACCCACCAGAACCCAACCCATACATCCCAGGCCGGGAATTGGACAACTCAGGCAGCCAGCACCTGATAATAGTCAGGAGCTCAGGCTGGTAAGGTGGCTCAGTGGTAGAGTGCTTGCCTTGTGTGCATGAGGCCCTGGATCTGATTCCTCAGCACCACATAAGCAGAAAGGGCCAGAAGTGGTGCTGTGGCTCAAATGGTAGGGTGCCAGCCTTGAGCCAAAGAGCTGAGGGACAGCACCCAGGCCCAGAGTTCAGGCCCACAACTGGCAAAACAAACAAACAAACAAAAAAGTCAGGAGCCCATAGCAGACTTCAGCAACTGGAAGAGTACATCCAACACATTCAAGCTCACCAAGAGCACCTGTCGGAGTAAACAGGAGCAGTCTAGGCCACTCAGTCCTTCTAAAGGTGGGAACTGCCAGTGATCTATAGCAGAGAGCTGAGAGCCCTACGTGGGTCAAACCAGCAGTTGGAGGTAGGCCCCCAACAGATCCGAGACCAGGTACAGACAAAAGCTACATCCAAGAGATGCTGGAGGCAATGACTCAAGAATTAAAGCAAGAAATAGACCAGAAATTTAAAGAACAAAGGACAAAATATCGAAAGAGATGCAGGTCTCAAACAGGAGGTGCACGCAGAAATAAAGGCAGTACACACCTCTCTAAGAGATGAGTTTAGTACAAAAATAGAGGCAGTATACACCTCACTAAGAGGTGAGGCTAGTACTTTGAGAACCAACATTGAATCCATAAATGATTCCATTTCCTACATGCAAACCACAATGGAAGCCACAGTTAGCAGAGTGAACAAAATGGAATGTAGAGTGTCAGATACAGAAGACATAATACACCAACTGGACCAAAAAATCACAGATATAGAAATATCACTTAAATTATGCCAAAGGGAAATCCAAGAGCAAGGACAGTGCAAAGAAATTTAACCTTCGTATAACTGGAGTGGACGAAGGTGAGGAATATCAAAGCAAAGGAATGCAACACCTATTCAACAAGATTATCAGTGAAAATTTCCCCCATCTTAAAAAGATCATCTTACCTGCATAACAGAAGCATATACAACACCTAACAAGCAGGATCCCAGGAGAAACAATTGTAGACACATTATAGTAAAAATGATAAATCTGTATAATAAGAAAACAATCTTGCATGCAACAAAAATGAAGAAGGAGCTATACTACAATGGGAAAAAAATTCGAATCACTGCAGATCTCTCTACACAGATACTGAATGCAAGAAAGGCCTGGGAAAGCACCGTCCAAGCCCTGAGAACCATTTACTGCCAACCCAGACTGATATACCCGGCAAAGCTAGCATTCACATTCAATGGAGAAATGAAAAATTTTAATAGTAGAGAAAAACT